GGGCGGGCTTCCCCCTCCCCGCCAGCCCGGTCCTGCCAAGGGTAACAGCAGCACCGGTCCCGCCGGGGCAGTCGGGGCCTCTGATTCCCACGGGGCTCCGGGGGACACCCGTGGGGTGGCGGCGACTCCTGAGCTTCCCCCGGCTCTGGTGGGGCTGAGCTGCACCGCCTCAAGGCCTTCAGAAACCAGAGGGGCTTTCTCCAGGGCCATTCTGCTTATTTCTAGTTTCTGCTTGAAGCGGCCGCTCGGGGTGAAGTACAATGGGACTGCGGCGTAGGGGTGAAACGTGCCTTCGGGAGATGCTCTTGGGGACCATTGCGCTCACGCCAGGGCTTGACCGTGTAAAACTTCACCTTCCAGGACCTTCTTAGTCGCTCTGGTCCCTCGTTCCAGTGTAGAAATTCATCAGCTGAAGTTATGCACTTGACTTGAGAACCATACCGCTGGCACCTCGGGGACCCTGTGAACTGGAACGGGAGAGGAGGTAAAGCTGCTCTGTCCACCCAGTACGCTGCCCAAAATCCCTGAGAGGCCCTGGCGCTGCTTCCCCCCTTCCACGGGGATTTTTGGGTTGGTTTGCTGAGAGAGGGGTGGGAAAGGACCCCGGGTGCAGCGCTGGACATATGGGGCTGTGCTTCGAAATCGGGATCGTGCTCCTAAAGCGCCCAGGCTCTTCTGAAACGCTCAGCCCCCCTACCCTGGGGCTCTTGGCCATCGCGTTTGCGCAGACAGATGTGCTTAGATGGGATCGTGAGCGCCTTTGGACCTCCCCTCTTGCGTTCCTCTGTGTTGCTTCACAGTTGCCTCTCCATTGCTGTAACGCTGCAGTGCAGCCCAGAGTGGCCATCGAATAACTTCTTCCAAAAAAAAGTTGCATAATTCTTGCGGAGATGCTCCGGCCTGTTGGCGTGCGTTTGAGAAGGGTGCAGGTTTGCTTGCCGGTGTCTGGTGTCTCTCCTAATGGAATGCGACCGTTATTCCTGTGCCATCGAGTGGGACAAGTCAATCCTGGGGGCTGCAGGATGGGGCCTCCCCTGTCCTGCTGTGGGCAAGGCTTTGGGGTTAAAATCACCTCTTTCCTCGAGTGTGAGCCCCTCGGTTGGCTCAGGGGTGCCATGGTTACTGTAGGGTTACCTCTTCTGGCTGCTCCTCTTCACCATCAGGTCTGTCCCCTCTTCTCCTGGACTTGTGGGACCGCATCTCCTGCACGCTCATGGCAGGGTGGTCTCGTCCAACCTCCTCTTGTCCTTCCTCCTTGGAGGTAAATCACCCATCTCTTCAAGATGAGGATGTTGCTGGCTAATGCCCTTCCTCTTCCCCCTCTTCCTCTTCCCGGGGCAGGCAGAGAAACCAAGGAGGGTTGTACATGTACCATCAGCTGAATCAGGCTGCCTGGGATGCCCCGGGGCAGTGCTGCCTTCCCCGCTCTGCCCCAGCCCAGAGGCCGGCAGTCGCCCCTGGCAGCGCTCCCCTCCCAGCGCACCCGACCGTTGGTGCCCTCACTTGCCCTTGGCCGGTTTCCCTGCCCGTGGATGCCGGGGAGGTGGTGGGGTAAGGGGTTGGAGACTTGTGCCTGGCTCGCTGCTCTGCTTCCTCCTGCAAACAGAGAGTAGAGGTTGGCAGAGGGAAATTGGGGACCCCGCCACCACGGGGAGCGCCTGGCGTGCTCCCTGACTCCCGGGAACGAGGGGTTTGGATCCCAGCTGGCTCCATCACAGCGAAGAGGAGGAGAGGTTATCCCTAAAGGGAAAAACTGCATCCCAGTCCTGATTTTTTTTTTTTTTTTTTTTTTTTTTTTAGGG